CAATCAACGAAAAAAAAAGAAAAAAAAACGCGTTTTTTTTTTTTTCTTCTTTTTTTTGACTCGGTTGGCCAAACCCCCCAACCAAAAGTTGTTTTTTTTTTCATTTTTTTTTGTGTGGGGGGGTGGGGCAGGGGATGCGCCGTCCAATGGCTCTTCCAGAATCCCGACACCCCCTCCCCTCTGGCTGCCACGTGGCGCCAAAGCCGCGCGTCCGCGCGGACGCGGCCGTGGACTTGGCCGCACCTGTCCGCCGCCAGGGGGTATTCATAGGTGAGCTGGTCAAAGGCCTTATCGACTGTCGTTTTGTCAAAAAACCGTTCCTTGATCTTACCAAGGAACTGCTTGAGGTTCAAGGTTCTAGCCCACTCCCGAAATGTCATCGAACCCTGCCGCATTAGCTTCGGCCAACACCCATTCCTTAGCTTTCCCCCCGAGACAAGAAGTAGAGAAAGCAACTTGGGAATTGGCTTTAACAGGGGCCGTACTACAATATGTCTGAATCTCGGCAATCCACAACAATAAGTTTTCATCTTTCTTGTTGCAGAATGTGAAAGGCAACTTCATTTTCACCTTCTCTTTTCTCTTGGGTTTCTCTGGTTGTGTGGTGTGGTCCTTTGTTCCATTTGGAGACTTCGGCGGACTCGAAGGTTCTCCTTTCTTCTCTACCGGTTTCTTCTCTTCTGGTTTCAGAGTTTCTACAATAAGAGAGTTCATGGCATCTCCCATTAGTTTCTTCGGCTTTTCGGTCTTCTCTTCCTTGACCTTTTCCTTCCCCTTGACCAGATTCGTGATTATCCGGAGTCCTTCGGCCACATCATCGATTTGTGACTGCATCCGTTCACTGTACTGATCGATTTTCATTTCCAGGTGGGCAAGGTAATTCACAAGCTGAGCTAAAGAAATCTCCTGTTCTTCCCCTTCGGTCTTTACAACAGTTTGTCTAATTTCTTGAATTTTCTGTTCTTGCTGCTCACTCTTTTTCTTTCTCAATTCTTCTTTCCTCTTCTTCTCTCTTTCTAGTGCTTCTTCAAGTTGTCTGACATTTTCATCCACGGTTTCTTCAGACACAACCCTTTTTCCTTCTTCTTTTCGTTCAGCAAGCTCGGAGAACTGATCCATGATATACTTATTAAGTGCCTGACGGCACTTGATTAGTATATCCTGAACCTGGATGATGTCGGTGCCTGTCTCAGCCAATTCAATTGCATTTGCAAGGAAGATGAGCAATAGCGAACTTCAGCAATCAAACAGCATCATACATATGAGTCCAGATAGTCGTGACCTCGAACCAACAACAAAATTGCATCACGAGATTCACCAAATAATAACACACCAAGAGTTCATAATTGACAATGCTGAAATAGTCCCATCATCATCAACGAAGAACCAGAGTTGATATCCTATCTGGCGCTCGACACCCAGACTACATGTGGCAGATCCTATCTAGCCTATACTACGAAGCTGAAAGATGACGTCAACAACATTCCCGAAGTACGAGCATATGGCGACCAATGTCGCACGCTTCCAGCACCAGGTATGTCTCGCGCTACACTCACAACCTCGTTCCCCAACTCACAGATGCCACTTGCACCCAAGGACCACCCTGCGCCTCACCCAGCTTACAGCAGCGCAACTCGGCTATGGCTGCGTGCTCCTTCCCTGCTCGCCCGTGAGAGCGTAGGCGCCAGCCAGCAAATAGCACAGCAGCGCTGGCGCATCATGCAGCCAGTACCCGAATACCGAATGAGAAGGCAGGCCCTTTGCTATATCGAAGTGGCCTGCCTGCGTCCAGTCCCAGGAAGCTTCCAGTAGGCCCCGGTAGCCTGAGGCCCAGCACGACGAGAACAGGCCTTGGGCCTGAGGTGGTTGCATGTGCCCAACTGCCTTTGGCCTGTGTTTGGCCCGGTACCCGTATCCAGCCCAGGGCCTGCTTCACATACATTCACACAGGCGGCTCAGGGCCTGGGTTCACTCAACCAACTGGCGCTGCGCAACTGCCTGAATTTCCCTGAGTTGCGTGGTGGCAAAAAAAAAAGGCCCTGAGGGCCTCGTCGAGCCTGCCTTTACTTATGGCGGCCGACGGGCTCCAAAAATGGGGCCTTATGGGGCTCATAGAGGCAGTGGCCTCGCATTCCCTCCTCCTTAGCTTCAACAGTCCTCTGAGAAGCTCAGTCTTCAATTATGGGGCGCTTTTTTTTCTGCAGAGATCTCTCGTATTGGGTTACAACTTGAGGAGCGGTCTGCATGAGTTCTTCCCAGGTGAACCAGCGGTCCTCCTTCGGATCGGTGTGATGCCGGAACCGAACGCGGAACTGCAGCTTCGGTTTCTTAGGTCGTCCCCTGCCTGCTGGTCTTGATACCGGCAGCTCTCTGTGATCCACGATGTCATCAATGTCCACCTCTCCGTCCATGGTTGGGGGCAGCATTGAGCGACGAGATGGAAATTGATCAGTCTCTTTGAAAGGTGTCAGCTTGGAGGCATGAAAGACAGGGTAAGTACGGAGATGACCAGGGATCCGGATAACATAAGATGGCCCATCCGGATCTGTACCGACGATGTCCAAGACTTCCCAAGGTCCAAAGTATTGGGGCATGAGTTTGCGGGAGATCCCGTACTCCTGTCCCAATTCTGAAGACTTAACCCAGACTCTATCCCCAACCTGAAATGTAGAAGGCCGACGGTGTCTATTTTCAGACTCTATCATTGCAGCCTGCGCCTTCTGCATCTGTTCTACAGCCTGCTGCATCTTCTGATCATAGCGGTAAGCAAATTCTAAGGTACGTGGTGCAACTGTTGACTGATTCTCAGGAAGGAGAAAATCCAAGGGTAGTCTAGGCTTGAAAGTCAGTAGCAAACTGTTCGGGCTCACCCCGGTGGCACTGTGTACCGCACTGTTTTACAGATTGGCGATGAGTGCAAGCTTCTCATCCCAGTCCACCTGGTTGGGCTTGATGTAATGCCTCAACAGGTGTTGTATAGCGTGGTTCAGTTGCTCGGCCTGGTCGTTGGCCTCTGGGTGATTCCCAGAAGTCGTTTGCAACTGGGTTCCCTGTTCTGCAGTAGCGGCCTTCCACATTTCGCTGGTAAATCGGACATCCCTGTCACTGATTATGGATTTCGGTAAGCCAAATCCCTGACCCAGTTCTCTTTAAACAGTCTAATCACGTACTCCGTCTTTGCTGTTTCCGACATTGCTACTACCCTAGCATACTTACTAAATCTATCCACGATGACGAAGATGTGACGCATCCCACTCCTGCTGGTGATCTGAGTATCGATGAAATCCATGGACAGACTCTCACCAGGCCGTTCCGGAATCGGAAGGGGCTTCAGAAGCCCAAGAGGAGCCTGAGTACGTGGCTTGTCCCGTTGACAAACTTGACAAGTCTCCACGTACAGCTGGGCATCTCCCATCATCGTGGGCCACCAGAACCGGTGCAACAAGTTGGTTGCGGTCTTCTTATACCCGAAATGGTCGGTGGCATCATGACACTCACCTAAAAACAAACTACGCAAAGACTCGCTATTGGGAACACACAATCGTTTATTCCCTGCCTTCTCAAGGAACAGCAAGCGATTGACCAACTCAAACTCGACAGAGGTCTTCTTGTCCTTTGCCTGAAGTCTGCGTATGATCTCAGACATGAACTGGTCCTCGTGATAGGCTTCCACCAAGGACTGAGTAACATGGTCCGTCAGATCGAACTTAGTAATCAGCGCACCTGAGAAATCAGGTCTACGCGACAAGGCATCCGCAACCTTGTTGTACTCCCCTTTCAGATACTGAGGGTCAAAGTCATACTACTCAATGACTTCGATCCAACGCTTGAGAGCGTCAGAAAGTACAGGCTGGGTTCTCATCCATCTCAGGGTCTGATGATCAGTCCCGAGGATGAAGAATCTCCCAAGGAGATCGTGTCTCCAATGGGTCAGAGCCTTGTAAACTGCATAGAGTTCCTTCTCATAGGTGGACTTAGCCAACGTCTGAGACGACATTTTCTTGGACATGTACTCTACAGGCCTCAACTTTGGCCCCTCCTGCTGCGCGAGCACGACGCCAATGCCATATTGGCTGGCATCCGTGGTGACTATAAACGGCTTATCATGATCAGGAAGTTTCAAGACCTTGTAGTGCGTCAACGCATGCTTCAGATGTCTGAAAGCAGCCTCGCACTCGTCTGTCCACTCCCATGGGGTGTCAAGGCGCGTGAGATCAGTCAAAGGAGCGGCCACTATGCTATAGTTTTTAACGAAAGTCCTATAGTAGCCTGTCATTCCCAAGAAAGATCTCATCTTAGTCACAGACTGAGGACGTGGCAAATCACGAATGTTGGCCACATTCGCGTCATCGGGCTTCAACCCTTCCGCGGAGATCTCATGACCCAAGTACAAGACACGGGTGCGGCCAAACTCGCACTTCTGACCGTTGATCTTGAACTTGTGCTGTCGCAGGAGGCTGAGGACTTTGGCCAAATGTGCAACGTGCTCCTCGACAGTCTTACTAAAAATAAGTATGTCATCGAGGTACACGATGACAAACTTATCTAAGTAGTCATGGAATATCCGATTCATAGCGTGCTGAAAGGTGCTAGGAGCATTGCAAAGGCCAAAAGGCATCACCACAAACTCGTACAAACCGTACCTGGTCTGGAAAGCGGTTTTGTGCTGATCCTCGGGCGGGATTGCAATCTGATGGTACCCGGACTTCAGATCTATCTTACTGAAGTACCGACACCCGTGCACTCTATCTAACAGATCATCGATGCGCGGTAGGGGCTCTCTATTCTTTACAGTGATGGCATTGAGGCCCCTATAGTCAATGCACATCCTAAGAGTACCCTCCTTCTTCTTAGGAACAAATAGAACTGGAGACCCATAAGGAGAGACACTCGGTCGGATCCAACCCTTCTCTACGAGTTCCTTGAGTTGGCGGCGAAGCTCATCAAGCTCGCCTGGAGACATCCGATAGATCCTACCCTTCGG